ATCAATTAAACCCGCACAAACTATGGCTCTCATCCAATACATTACATAATAACCACATTCAAACGAGTCAGTTTGCTTATTACACTCGAAATGATGAAAAAAACATAATATTATTTTCAAAATTGAAATACAAACAATAATTATGGTATTCACTTATATAAATAAGTTTCTAACCTTAGGATAAATGAACTGCAAAGTCTTTGTTCTAGGTTTTCCACTTAGAACATTAGTTCCAGACACGATTCTAAGTGAAAAAAAGTCATATATTATTCAATATGTATTCACAATTTAAAAACATAATTAATGAATAAAAGATAAACTTACCCTTGTAATAAGCTTTTCATTTCTTGACTCGGTTTCCGATGTAATGAACAAAACCACACCACAGATTGCTCGATAATCTTGTAAAACTACATCCTATGTACAATTGTTGCGCAAAATCAGATTTCAAAGAATCATATAGATGTGCTTTCATAAAATGTTCTTCACCAATATCACGTATCATATCCTCTAGATTATCATCCATCCCTTCATCAAAATTGTCCGTAGTTGACACGATTGGGATGTCTAATATTTCTCCATGCCATGTCCATATTGTATAACTCTTAATAATACCATAAACAAACAAGTGATCACGTATATCCTCAAGTTTATGACGAATTTGATTCAAACAACGAACACATGGACAATAATATGTCCCTTTCATAGCTTTTCCATTTTCACTAGCAAATTTCAGAAATTCCTCAACTCCCTTTTCGTACTCTTCACTAATACGACGTGCATTCATCCAACTTCGATTCATATTATGTTATAAAGTTTCGTCACTCCTAAAGATTTAAAAATTATATGTAAAAAAAATTAATATACAAACAACAAAGCACGTTCCAACAACAATGGAGTGTGTAAACCGAATGCACTCAAACAAATAAACAAATAACTACATTCCAATAACAATCCAGTGGAGACATTCATACTATAACGTGATTGAGATCCCCAAAAACAATCACGGATTCAATGTAAACATATAGCAATGACAATGAACACTAACCTCGAGTGTAGACGAAAACTGATTTCAAACTCGAATCCAATCGGGGAGAAAGATGAAGTTCGTCAAATGACACGACAATGTAGATGCTTTTCACTGTAAAACTGCTCGCAAATGGTGTGCAGAGGTAGCTGTTGTCGTCGTTCTCGTCGTCGTTCTCAAAAACCCTGGTTGCGCGAGACGAGGAAGTGGGCTGGGAGGGAAATAAAATAGACTTTTTACGTCGCGCAGTGCAGCAAGCGACGTAAAAAGTCATCTTTTACGTCGCACCTGGGAGGCGCGACGTAAAAGATGACCTTTTACGTCGCGTACTGGGGGGCGCGATGTAAAAAGCTAAGGCTTTTTACGTCGCGCCCCCCTGTACGCGACGTAAAAGTCATCTTTTACGTCGCACCAGGTGCGACGTAAAAGATGACTTTTTACGTCGCATATTGGGGTGTGCGACGTAAATTTTTTGTCCCATATTTACAAAATTGCCACCGCGTTTTATTTACGTCGAATATACGTGCATGCGACGATAATTGGGTGACGTAAAAGCCCTATTCTGCACTAGTGTTATCTATTGTTAGTTTTGTTTTTCTTTTCTAATTTTTTATTTTAGCTGTAATTTTCTACGTAGTTATTCTCAACATTAACATTTCATGACATATTTTATTAAACAAATGTGTTATGTTATATTAGATTCAATATTTTGCTATTTTACTTAACGATTTTCATGAGATGTTTTGTTTTTTTTTTCAATATATTATTTACATAACTATACATATGTAAATGCAATTTTCCTTGAAAGCTTATCTTAGGAAGCATCTATAGCATGTGATGGAAACGGTGTGAACTCTATTTTGGAGATGCAAATGATCCTACCCGACAAAATGACAAGATAAGTTTTTTATCATAAATTTTGTGTGAAAGATAGAGTATGCATAGATACCTTGTTTATTGCATTGAAAGAATGTGTTAACCATAACTTCACTCTCTCTCCTCACTTATCCATGTTCCCAATCTCTTGATGCCATGAACTCTGTCCCACCTAGCTACCATCAAACAAATAAATTGTGATGTTTAAAACGTGAATAAACATAAAAGGGAAAGCTTACTCATTAGTTAATGAGTTTGTTTTTTTTAATCTTTTAACAAAATGTTTTTCTCATAACAACTTATTTACTTTATCTATGGAATTACCCGTAAGTAATACAAATCCAGACAAAGAATTTAATTCGTAAGTAAATGATAATTTAGTAGATATGAAAATTTGTGAACAAATAAAAAGAAAATTTTTTAGTAAATAATTAGTCTGGAATAATTAAATTTTTAATTTGGTCATTGAGAGGCTGCTATGACCAATTGTAAGACACCACTTTGTTTGATGTTAATTGTCCACTTGTGGCCTCCAATAATGATCATTTCTACTTTATTTAAGGTACATAAACTTCAAACAAAGATGCTATCTTTTATTTAATAATCACACGGTTCTTCATTTCAAGCTTTGAAATAGTTATTATACTAAAATTTATTGAGTTCTATCCAAACGTTTACTAAATTTCACATTTATAACAATGAGTTTTTATGGATAGCTAAAAATATATTAGAAAATACTTCAATAATAATCTTACTAAATTTTTAAATGCTCAATTTTAGAGTTAATCATTATAGTACTTAATTCTTTTATTACTTGCTTATATCATCAATAACTTTATTTTAAAATAAAAATAATACAAATCTAAAGATATATATGGGAACATATCTTATTTTTTTATATTGAAACTATTAAAAATTGATATATATATAAAATAAGCTTCCCTTTCTTTGATTGAGATGATATATTAAAAAATAGATGATTCAATTGTAATTAATAAGAATTAGATCTAATGAAATGATTTGCAATTGATTCTAGGTCATTTTCATGGCATGCATTCTCTTACCTCATCAGTCTCAAGCACATTGACTTGTGTTAGGTTCTCTGTCTTCCATCTTATCAAAGGCTTCTCTTCATGTTTAAAAATTGGTGTTCACTAAAAATCCTTCAAAACAAAAAGTATGGATTGGTGAATTGGAATGAGAGTAAAAAAACAGACACCTATATTAACTCCTATGTTAAGTAACATGTCATAATTCCATACGGTTAAAAACTGTACGATCATAACATCAAATTAACATAAAAATAATATGTGACCGACACTCGTAAGCAGCATGGTACGTACCTCATGCACCCTTTACGTGTGTTTATAATATGAAATTCGTATTTGCATATAATTTTAAAAGAAAATAATATTTAAAAAATTATAATAATTATTTTTTTATCGATATAGATATTGTTATTTCTAGTTCACATTGTTTAAATATTTCTTTCTCAACCCTAATAATATTTTAGATCAATGTAAAAGAAAAAAAATCGGTTGACAAAATTTAAAAATATTTTTAATTGATGCAAAAATATTTGCATATGCTGTATAAGTCAGGGTTTTCAATTGACATAGTTAAAATTATTTATCCATTCTAGAGTTATTTTTCAATTGATGTTTTGCATGATTTTCTGAACCAAATCGATGAACATTTTTTGGTAGATGTCAACCAGATATTTTCTATATAGTGATTATTTGTTATGATGTCTATAGAAGTTTACTAATATTATTGTGGTGGTAGTTTTTGTATTTAATATTTTTTTATATTTTAGGGTGATTTAAATATTTTATCTAATTTTAAAAATAATTAATGTAAATTACGAGAAATTTAATTTTTAGTATATTTTAATTTCCTAAAACTATAAAAAATTTTATCCTTAGACTTTCCAAGTGAAATCTATTAATTAAAGAAAATTCAATTCTCTTAAATTTTATTTCTTTCACAAATATAAATACTGAAATTTAACTACCTTCGTACAAATAATCATCGCAACTTTATTTTTACGAGGATTGATCTTATAATTCATTTATTTACAAAATAACCCCTCAATCTCTAATTACAATTCAATTTATCCTCAAATCATATCTCTTATCCTTAAATTATTTATCTTAAATTTTAATAGATATTATTCGTCGACAGGTATATGATTAAAGTACAGTACCTCATATCAAAATAAACCAGTTTTAAGAATTAATTTTGACAAAATTAAAGTTTAAATTATGTATTTATAAGAGGAATTACGTTTTAGTAGGATAAACACATTTTATTTTCTTAAAATAGGTTAAATATTTATTTCCTTTAAAGTTTGGATTCTTTTCGTTAATCTTTGATTGGTAATAAACAATTAAATCATTTTTAAAAATAACTTCCATCTTTACGTTTCTCTGTTGTTTTTAAACTGGTCCTATATATTATTAAAATATAATTTAATCATTACGCATATGAACTAAATTATATTTTATTACAATATAAAAATATATATTTTAATAATAAAAAAATAGTGACGTACTTAAAAATGAAAAATAATTACAAAATATTAAAATTATTTTTAAAGATTTGATTTTAATTTATTTAAATTTTAGAATTAAATCAAAACTTTCCATACACTTTTAAAATAAATTTGACCATCATACCTTAAAAACGCACGTGTAAAGAAAAATTAAAATATTTTGTACTTTCTCTTACGAAGAATAAAGTTTGAGCAGACAATCTACAAATTTAAAATCATGACAATTGCATTGAATTAAAGAGACTTCAATTTATTTTAATCTGAAGTTACTCTTTGATTTTGGACAGAGTTGAGGAAGCAAGACCAGCAATGGACCAAGTAAGCAAATAAATTATTTATGATTTTATGAAAATGAAAAAGAAAGGGTGATTAATTAATGTCACTTTCCATGGAAACAGTGAAAGTCAGCTTTTTCACCTATTAATACATGCACATACAAGATGGGGGTTGCAAGAAGCTGGAATTCCAAAAGGTTGAAACTTTCCATTTGGTTTTCCAATAAGAAAGGAGAATTAGAGACACAGGGAGAAGATAGGATAAGAAATGCCTTGCCTTTACATCTCCACCAACATTAACTTAGATGGAATCAACATAGATCCAATCTTTTCTCAAGCCACCTCTGCAGTTTCCAAAATCATAGGCAAACCAGAGAAGGTATTGCACACTACTCTCCCTTTCTTTCTAATCACTTTTGTTTTGCAATTAATTTCCTTCCAATTCTCATGCTGTGTGAAAATTCTTCTGGGGTGGACTTAAATTGTGGTTTTGTGGTTCTTTTAGAAGTCACGGTGATTCTGGTCTTTTAAATTTGGATGCAACTCGGTTTCTGGTTCAATCTAGGACAAGGAATCTGAATTACATGTAAAAGGAGACAGAACTTTAAGTTTGGCAGATTTTTTGTTGACTGTGAATATCCAGAAGTATGTGCTTTTGAAACTTGCCCTTTTCCTTTCTCTTGCACAGTTTGATCTGGAAATTTGCAGATAGCAATTATTGATAGTTAACTTAGTGTTACTAAGTTTCATGCAATTTTGCATAAAGTAATCAATCTGATTTCATTAGCTTGTTTGTTATCAGTAGAATATCGTAAAACATTTGAAAGAACCATACCATAAAAGCTATTTGTTGTTATTGGAAAACTTTGATCCTATAAAATTTACATTAGAACCACACCATTTGTTTGTAGTTGAGAGATACAATTAGTAAGAATTTTTAGAAAATTATACCATAAAAACCAACTACTATAGTTGAAGAATCCAAAACTTTATAAATCCCAATTTAAAATCCTAAATTCCTAACATACAATTTAACTAATACTGATATCCTAACAGCGTTAAAATTGGGAACTTTAATTATTATTTTGTAAGACTCAAGTTGAAGGTGAGTCCAAAGTCGAAATATTATTCCAAATGGGCAATTAAACAAGTTAGTTGAAAGAGACCGGCAAGTTGGGTGGTCCAGTAAATTTAGTGGAGTTTGATGTTGTTGAATGCATATGAAATGAGATCACTAGCATATAAAATAATGCAATAGGATATTCAACACTCAATAATGCCATTGTTGTCATCCTTAGGATAAGAAAAACCCAATTAATGATAATATAAAGTAACTTCACCTAGTTTACAAATCATATCAATAAATAGTATAATACTCTCAAACGCTTCATTAGTAGTTTTATTTAAAAAAAAAAAGAAAAAAAAAGAAAAGAAGATTGTGAAAAATATTTGATAAGATATTTTATTCAAATCATATATCATATCTTTAATCAATGTAATTAAATTCTATCTCTAATATAATCACATCATATCTCACCAAATCATTTTCTTTTTCTTGAAAAAATGAGGGAAAGAGTAGTACTACGATAAAAATAGTTAGAAAGCAAGGAACTTTTTGTAATTGTTTAATGGACAATGAAAACACTCGCTCACCAACTATTAATGATCTGTTTGGATCACCACAGAAACCCCACTATTATTCGTTTGAAATGTGGTGGATGGATCTCATCACTTTTTCTCCTCATAAAGATGGATGGGATATTTAAGGAAAAGAATAACTTAAAGATGTTAACTAATAAAATATTCAATCTGATATTTAAAGGGTATATATAAATGTGCAGTTTGTGATGGTGATATTGAAGGGATCAGTGGCAATATCTTTTGAGGGGAACAGAGAACCAGCTGCATATGGAGAGATAGTTTCAATGGGAGGCATAAATTCAGAAGTGAAGAAGAAGCTGATAAACACCATTGGCACCATATTGCAGACCAGCCTATCAATTCCAAGAACACGGTTTTTTCTCAAAGTCTTTGACACAACAGTTTTTCCCACTAAATCCAACATGTAACCACGATACTGATGTACCGTGTCGATACAAACAATACCACTTCATCAGGTTATGGAAAACAAAACAAAACAAAAATACTTCCACTTGTTTTCCATTTTTTATTTTGTCTCACAATAATAGCTTTTCTTTTATCGATTTTATGGTGCTTTTTGCGTTAGTGAAAAAGTAAAAAGGAGAAAAGAAAAGCAAATTAACATTTACGTTTAAGATAGGAAAAAAGAAAAATAAAAAGAAAGAAGATATGAAGCATTCCATAGGAAAGAAATAGAAAAAAATAATAATAAGAGAAAAACGACATAATTTGATTAAAAAGAAATAGATGAAAAAAATGGAAATTAAGACATTTTTTACAATAAAAATAAAATAAAAGTATTGATTGTTGCTTATTAATATTCTTATTTATTTATTTATTATATATATATATATATATATATATATAAAGACAATCTTAATGACATTATATTCAGTAATTTTTTATATTGTGATCATGTAATTGATTAATATTGTTAAGTTTGATTTTAATTTCTAATTTTTCTTTTTTTAATTCTCTTACAGAAAAAATATTCTTTTTTCATCTAATTTTCTTTTTAATTTTCACTCAATTAAATCATTATTTTTACTGCCATTTTTTCTCTCACTTATTTTAGATGACAAATGATATTCTTCTTATAATTTTATTATTTAATATCAAATATTATAAGAAACTTAAATAATAATTACAACCTACATTTTATATATGGAAGACTTCAATTGTTTATAATGTTTTCTTCATATATTTTTCTAGAACTATATTATATACTTCATATTTTTTATTAACCTCTAATCAGAAAGTTGAGTAGAACTCCTCTCAAATTAATAATAAATATATATTATTTAATTATTTAACAGTGGCACAATTTAACATATTTCAAAAATTGAATCTTTTTTATCTTCTTCATCAATACTAGCTATAGTAATTCTCGTAATTTGCCACTTTGAAGAAACCTATCATGAAGGTTTATTCTTTTCTATTGAAATAACTTTCAAATTAATTGTTTTAAGTCATACTCGACAATTGGTGCATATTTTCTAGTTTTTTGTTGGATCTCGTATAAAAGTAAGAAACAAACATAAACTTTTAAATTATCTATTGGATAAGAGTATTGTGTTATGCACTTATTTTGAAATCATTTGGCTCTTCAATCTTGTAGTTCGAAACTTATAAGTGCAAATTAGATTTTCTCAAAAGAGATCTAATATCTCTCTATGTTTAGATTTTCTCAAAAGAGATCTAATATCTCTCTATGCTAATAATATAAGTGTTATTATTCAAATGGTTGCAAATTCACTCTTTTATAAGCAAATCAAGCACTAATTTTGTTCAATTCTAGTGTAGTACGTGGCAACAAACATTACTAACGAACATAACTAGAATTGATACGACAAATTAGATTTGTTATGTTCTTTAGTTTCAATAATTAGGTGTTTTTAATTCTTTTGTGGTGTGAATTCATTGAGTGCATTTGATCATTTTTCTCAATGCAGATTCAAGTGGCGGATGTATTCAAGTTTTGGCGCAGCACAAGCTCTTTGAACAAATTGATCCAATTTGGATGTGAACTTGAAACTTGAATAAGCTAGTGCAAGCATTTCATCAAACACCTCTAGTGTAAAGTGCCCAACCAAGATTGATTCGAACATTCTTGCTATATTTGAGTAATATTTCTTGATTTTTATCTTTCTTTGCTTTAGTCTTTTGTCCATTAAATTCCTTTGAATTCTAATTCATTTGATTTTTAGTTGTGAGACATAGTTTAGTGAGTTGGATTATTAGAAAATCTTGTTTTTGTCGAGATTAATTTTTACATTATCCAATTCAAAGTTAAGTGTAACATCTTTGTTTTGAGAATTTCTTAAATTTAAGTTTAAGTTTTGAAAAATTAAAAGTACAAATTAAGAAAATTGCATAAGAATAAATAAATGTCTAACTAGCTTTCATTCATCTCAAATATGATAAGCAAATAAAAAATATATATAAAAAAATTCATATATTTCTCTTTGAGACTTAGATTTTTTTTTTTTTTTAATTAAGTTCTCAATTGGATACTCAAATTAGTTCCACATATTTAGTGATAGGTAAAATGAATAATAAGATTAAAAGTTTATTAAAATGTTTTGATATTTGGAATGTTTAATATTGATGATACCTAAATAATTACTATTTGATATTGGAAGTTTTATTTCGAGATATGATTAGAGGTTTTTGGCAATTTCAATAGATCATTGTATTCTTCATTTGAGGTATGATAGTCAGATTTTAGAAATTTTTTGTTATCAAATTGGTATCAAAAGCTAGCGTTTTTTAGAAGAGCTAGGGTTTGAATTTTTTAGCTTCGGAAAAAAAAAAAACAAGTTTTTCGAGTGAGAATGACTAGTCCGATGAATCTACGAGTTGTGCCCGACTGATGAAGAAAGTTATCTTTGATAGATGAAGGGTCTAGATGAAAGTTCTTCTCAAAGCCCAAGACTGTTGAGAAATAGTAGAGAAAGTTTTGAAGAACCAAAAATCACGGAAGGATGGGTGACCTCTGCACTCAAGGCATTGAAGGAGGGGCGTTCAAAGAATAGTGTAACTTTGTTTACGTTGTTTCGAGTTGGAGAAGATCATATGAAAAAAAATTATGGTTGATGATCGGATCAAATAGATTTGATTATAGACAATATATGATGAATTTGAAAGCATGATGATAAAGGAGTCAGAAGAAGTTTCTGAGTACATCACGTGGACCGCTATGAATCAACTTAATCATGATGGAGAGACGATATCTGAAAATCGTGTTGTACGAAAGATTTTGATATAAACCTCATTTGCGCAAGGGATGACTTAGGATCTTGAGGGTTAGAACCTTGTAGGAAATTTAGAAAATTAGTGAAAAGGTGGATTAGAAAGTGGTGAAAGTTTTAGGGTTGACCATAATTTTTGAAACGTCGATATCTAAAGCTATAAAACTCTTATTGAGATGATTAAAAAATGAGATAGAAGTTCTTATTATGAATTTCAATTTAGGCTAAAAAAACATTCCATTTGGACGAGTAGAACTGAAGTTATGACCACGAAATAAATCTTGGTAGAATTGAGTTTTTTGGGTTCTGGTGAAGAAAGAACAAGAGGTGAATGTAAAAGGTCGAAGGAAAAAATCACTCTTTCCAAGGAAAGAAACTCACAAAGGATGTGAAAGTCCTTTGATACAGCCAAGTGTTATTGAATCACACAAGAACATAGGATAATCACTCTCACTATGATAAAAAAGTTAAACTCTAATATTTCTGAATGAAACTCAACTTGTATTTTTGATAAAAATGGTTCAACTTATATAAAAGTTTTTCCATTAGAGTTACAAAGACTCAATAAAGGAAAATAAATGCTAATAATGATCAATTAATCTAGGAATTGAAAAATACTTAATGGAGACAAATAAATGCTAATAATGATCCATTAACTTAGAAATTGAAAACTACTTAATAGCTGATTGTAACTGAAATTGTGGCAACCAAAAATCAATCAGTTATACACCCTCTTGGTGTCTCAAAGGCTGATGCCTAAGTTTCCAATTGGGTCTTATTACAACTTGAAACAAAATCAAACTAAAGCTCATTAATTTATTAACCCAAAACATTATTTGGTCAGTCAATTTTACAAAGGATTTGACCATTATTTAAACAAACTCTAAGACTTAAACAAAGTGATGCATTAGTTCTTCTTCATTTGGTCATGATGCAATTCACAACTTTGTTCTTTTCTTGTATTCAAATACTATGGACAACACTTGTTGAAGAGCTTCCTTTGCTCTAGCCCTTGCCATAGGTCCTCCAAGTCCTTCAAGTGGATCCTTGCCTTTACTCATGGTCATGTCCCCATCATTCTCTCCCTCTTGAAAAGGATTTTTCCTCCAATCGGATTCATCATCTACATCAAAAAGAGATAAGTCAGACACATTGAATGTGAAACTAACATTATACTCACTAGACAACTCAATTTTGTAAGCATTGTCATTAATTCTTTCAAACAATTGAAATTGACCATTCCCCCTTGATTGAAGTTTTGATTTCCTTTGTTTTGGAAAGCTTTCCTTTCTCATGTGCACCCAAACCCAATCTCCGGGTTGGAAGACAAACCTTCTTTCTCCCTTTGTTGGCTTGCTTAGTATAGCTTTCATTTTTTTTCTGAATTTGATTTTTGACTCTTTCATGAAGCTTCTTTACATAGTCCGCCTTAGTTTGACCTTCTGTATGCTTAAAAAGTTGTCCCCTTTTATGTTTGATAACATAAGGGAATTACTCTAGAAACTTCACCCACTTGGCCTACCTTTTATTCAACTTACCTTGTCTCTTAAGATACTTGAGGGACTCATGGTTGATCAATGTCGTACTCGGTCAAATAATTAAAACAGATAAATGTAATACTAGGAAGCTTTCATAGATCGTCTCCCAAAGTTCACGAATTTCTATCAAAGTTTGTCAATTTTTCAAATTAGAACAATAACAAAAAGGGGGAATTTTCATATTTAAAATATTAGATGAAACATAACAAAAGCAGATTATACAAATGCGGATTAAAAACAAATTAGAATGTAATTGATTTCCTGATTTTAATGTAGTGTCACTTATCCTAGGTTACGAAATTAATTCAAAATTAACCAACTAAACGAAGATAAATCCCAAATTATATTCCAATCCAAAATTAATCAACTAAGCGAAGATTAATCCCAAATTAGCTTTAATCCTTATTCCAATATGAAATTAACCAATAAAGTGAAGATTAATCCCAAATTTTCCTTAACCCTTATTCCAACATGAAATTAACCAACTAAGCAAAGATTAAGCCCAAATTATCCTTATACAATTAAGCATTGCATACATCACATAATTTCATCTCTAACACATAATTAAGCAAACTGTGATATTAGTTTCGGTTTATTAAGTATAAACAGATTATAATTCAACACTAAGATTAGAAGATG